AAAGGCTTCTCCTCAGACTGAAGCTCTTTCCACACTCCAAACATTTATGTGGTTTTTCTCCTGAGTGGATTCTTAGATGTGTATAAAGTCTTCCACTCAGACTGAAGCTCTTTCCACACTCCAGGCATTTATGCGGTTTTCCTCCTGAGTGGATTCTTTGATGTGTATAAAGTCTTCCACTCAGACGGAAGCTCTTTCCACACTCCAGGCATTTATGCGGTTTTTCTGAGTGGATTCTTTGATGTGTATAAAGGCTTCCCCTCCGACAGAAGCTCTTTCCACACTCCAGGCATTTATGCGGCTTCTCTCCTGAGTGGATCCTTTGATGTACATAAAGGCCGCTCCTTTGACTGAAACTCTTTCCACACTCCAGGCATTTATGTGGTTTCTCTCCAGTGTGGATTCTTTGATGTGCATAAAGGCTGCATCTATGACTGAAACTCTTTCCACACTCCAGGCATTTATGCGGTTTTTCTCCTGTGTGGCTCCTTTGATGTGCATAAAGGTTTCCCTTCTGACTGAAGCATTTTCCACACTCCAGACATTTATGTGGTTTCTCTCCAGTGTGGATTGTTTGATGTTGACGTAGGTATTCATTCCGAGTAAAGCTCTTTCCACATTCTAGGCATTTGTATGGTTTTTCTCCAGTGTGGAGCCTTTGATGTACATAAAGGCTGCTACTCTGACTGAAGCTCTTTCCACACTCCAAACATTTATGTGGTTTTTCTCCTGAGTGGATCCTTTGATGTACATAAAGGCTGCTACTCTGACTGAAGCTCTTTCCACACTCCAGGCATTTATGTGGTTTCTCTCCAGTGTGGATTCTTTGATGTGTATAAAGGTGGCTCCTCTCAATGAAGCTCCTTCCACACTCCAGACATTTATGCGGCTTTTCTCCTGAGTGGATTCTTTGATGTGCATAAAGGTTTCCCTTCTGACTGAAGCATTTTCCACACTCCAGGCATTTATGTGGTTTCTCTCCAGTGTGGATTGTTTGATGTTGACGTAGGTGTTCATTCCGAGTAAAGCTCTGTCCACATTCTAGGCATTTGTATGGTTTCTCTCCTGAGTGGATTCTTTCATGTACATAAAGCTGTCCCCTCCAACTGAAGCTCTTTCCACACTCCAGGCATTCAAATGGTTTTTCTCCTGAGTGGATCCTTTGATGTCTATAAAGGCTGCTCCTCTGACTGAAGCTCTTTCCACACTCCAGGCATTCAAATGGCTTTTCTCCTGTGTGGATTCTTAGATGGTTTACAAGAACTCTATTTCTTTTGAAGGATTTTCCACATTCCGGGCACTGATATTTCTCTCCTCCCTCCTGGATTCTCTGGGGATTCCCGGGTCTTCCGCCTCTTCTGAAGGACCCTCCGCCCTCCAGGCCCGTCTCGGGGTCTCCGCCCGTTTCCTGCTCCCCGCTTCTCCCTCTGGGCGGCCTCCTTTCTCCGGGTCCCTCTCGGCTCATCCCTGCCGGGCCTTCCCGCCGTCTCCTCCCGGGGCTGTTCCGCGGGGCCTCCTCTCCTCTCGGGCGGCGCCTCCTTCCTTCCTTCCTTCCTTCCTCCGCCGGGCTCGCCCGTCCTGCTGCAGGGGCGAAAAGGGGGAGGAGAGGCGGGTCACGGCTTCGTCCCTTCCCCGGAGGGAGTCCCAGGCCCTCCCAGGCAGGAAGGCCAAAGCCTCCGCCTCTCAGCGACACTTTCCGGGCAGGCCTCCCTCCCAGCGCCCGTCCCGCCAGACTAGGCCTCGGCCTCCCCCTCCCTCCGCCAGAGCGCCTCTCGGACTGCCACTCCCAGCATCCCCTGCGCCCCACCTGGATTGCGAGCCAGCCAGGCGCCTCAGTTCTATTCGTTTCCCGAAGTGGAGGCGGGACTTCGCTGCGAGCCCTTTTCCTCTATAAGCTCCGCCTGTTCCTCTGGAGGGGCCGCCCCGAAAAGTCCTCCTGCCATTCGCCGTCCTCCCCCGGCCGACCAATCTGGGGCCTCCTTCCTGGAATCAGTGAGTTGGCGCCTGCGCAGTAGCGACGGGCATGCTACACTCGGCGGGGAGTTTAAGGGTTTCCCTTTCACTTTTGGGGTCCGTTCGTCCACCCCCCCGCCCCCTCTCCCCCAGGCAGGCAGAGGATGGGGGCGCTGCTGGGGCTGCCACTTCCCCCCTCCCTCCCCATCCGGGGCCTTTCTTTGGCAGGGCGGGGAGGGGAAGGCGGGGGCTCCGGCCAGGCAGCCCCTCCCGCCTCTCAGGGCCGATCCCTGCCCCCCCCCCTGCGCCCCCCCGGAGCCCCTCCTCGCACGGGGGGGAAGGGGGGGCGAGGGGGTCCCAGGCCGGGCTGGATTGGGAGGATTTCTGTTCCCGTCTTTTCCGTTTGGAAAGGCTTCTCCCCCCCCCGTTCTGCCCAGCCAGAGAGGGAGGGGGGAGGGAGAGGAGGCGGGGCCAGAAACGCCCCCAGGACCATTGAGGGTCTCCAGCCTTGGGGGGCTTTGAGGCTTCTGGACTTCAACTCCCAGAATTCCTCAGCCAGCCACACCCTTGCCAAGGTTGGGGACCTCTGACCTCGGGTGCTTCGGACTGGATAGGACGCCCTGTGACCTCTGAGGCTCCTCCCCGTTCCAGGCAGCCTGCCCACCCCCGGACAGCAGCAATGGGAGGGGGCGGGAGGGCGTGGGAGGAGAGGCTGCCTTGGCCGGGAAAGAAAGGCCGGGATGCAAGGGGGTCACCTGGAAGACGGAGACCAGCCAAGGTCGCCCAGGGAAAGAGATTGTTCCCAGAACAGCCCAGGGGCAACTGAGGGGTGGACGAAGGACCAGGGGGAGACAAGGGGGGGGGGAGAGAGAATGGACTTTATTTTATGCTTTTGCCTGAGACATTGCAGGGCTCTATGGCAGGAATAGCCAACACCCCGGAAGAGAAGCTCGGGATCCAAAAAGAACTTGAGAGACTTGAACAATGGGCCCTATTCAACAACATGCCATTTAATGTGGAGAAAAACAAGGTTTTACACCTGGGCAGGCTAATCCCGAGGTACCAGTACAGATTAGACGAAACATGGCACAAAAACTGGAACTGTGAGAGGGACCTTGGACTCTCAATGGACGATCACTTAAATAGGAGTCAGCCGTGTGTGGCGGCAGCCCAGAAAACCTAATACAATCCATGATTATATAAACAGAGGCAGAGAATCAAAATCATCCGAAGTGTTAGTACCGCTTTATAAAGCCTTAGTAAGGCCACATCTGGAATGCTGCATCCAGCTTTGGTCACCGCATTACAAAAAAGATTGCAAAGAGCAACTAAAATAATTAAATGCCTGCAAGCTAAAAGATATGAAGAACGGTTGCAAGAACTGGGCATGGCTCTCTAGTGAAAAGAAGGACTAGGGGAGACATGATAGCAGTATTTGTTTCCGGAAGTGGAGGCGGGACTTGGCGATAGCTCTTCCATTTTCTTTTGAATGGACCGCCCCAAGGTGTCTTCCTGCCAATCGCTGCCCTCCCCAAAGCGACCAATCGGCGTCCTGCTTCCGTCCAGCCATGAGCCATACAAGAGAAGAATAAAAGGGAAAAGAATGTGTACATCTGGGCAAAACACTTACTGCATTGCACACCAAAGCTCCCTGTGGCTCAACCACCTGCCTGCCCCCCCCAGCCCAAGAGCAAAGCCCCCTCCTCAAAGAGGTATGGGACATTTGTTGGGTGAGGCACAGAAATCTCTGGGTGATGCTGTTAGAGAGGGGAGGGGTCTGCAGCTCTCTTGGGGGCAACATGTAAGCAATGGGCCAACGCTGCCTTTCCAATTCCAGTCCCTGCCCTGCTCCAGGTGCTAAAGAGGCTGGACCTCAATTAACCTTTTCCCAGAGCAGCCATTAATCAACTGAGCAGATGAACCATCCTCAAGTGAAACCCAAGAGCCAGTGTCTTCACAAGCACCTTAGAGGCATTTTCTGAACAGCGATACAGACTGAGCTAGAGTCAGTCTGTATCGCTGTTCAGTGCTAGACAGCATCTCTTACATTTCCTGGTGGTCCCCCATCCAATTGCCAACTGAGCCTAAACAACCTTTACAAATCATCCAAAGTTGTCCAGGTACAGACTGAGAGTCACCTGCCTGGAGATGGTTCCCTGTGGACGCTACCTGGGCGAGTCCCTGCAGTAAGCCTCAATGGAAAGGGAAGCTCTCACAGTAGCTCTCACTGCTCAGTTTGGCTACTCTTATGCCAAGTTAAGTTGCCTTCCAATCATCTTTGATCGCATCCTGCGAAACATCCAATGGTGGTGACCGTGTCCCGACTCTGAAAGGTTTCAAGGGATCCCAAATGCCCCTCCTGGTCGTAGCCACCACCAGAAAGCGTTTCTCCTCAAAGAGTCCATGGACAGTGGGGAGGGGGCATGCCCGGGGACCCGGCTGCCGGTGCAAACAGCCCCAGCCTTTGCTTCGGGCCGCAGTAGAGGTCTCTGTGCTGTGAGGCCAAAGCCCCACTCCAGTCTCTGCGGCAGAGGGGAAGGTCAGCTGGTGGAGAAGGCCAGGCCCGTCCCTCTCTCCAGGCAGCAGCAGAAGAACAGGGCAAGAAAAAAAAGCTGCTGCTGGGATCGCCTTGGCCGGTTTACTTGAATGTATCGCTAATTTATTGTTTTTGAAGGGTGTCGCTTGCGATGTGTTGAAAGGGAGGATGAGGAAAGGAAGCAAAAAATTTTTTTAATTCTTTTCCTTCCTTCTGAGACGTCGAAAGAGCTGCCAAATTAATTCAAAAACAGATATCTTGGAGTAGAGAGAAAAGAAAGTTGTTTAATAAACTTTTGTGAGCAAAGTTCTTTGGAAATTGTTTTCTCCACCATCCAGGACTAATACAGATGTCGGAGGGGGACAATCGAAAAGGACCGGCTGCCTATACATTAACGCCCAAAGTATGAAGAGTAAATAGAGTGAACCTGAAGTCCTAGTTCATGGGAGCAAGTATGGACCTGCCCCAGTGGACTGCCCCCCCAATCATAAGGGGTTTGCCAAGCGCCCAAATTGTGATCACACAATGGGGGGGGCATGTGTTGCAGTGGCCATAACTTTGGGTATAGGTTATAATTCTGAATGACTCACTCTAAGTCAGACATGTCAAACACAAGGCCCGGGGGCCAGATGCGGCCCGCGAAGTGGTTTCATGTGGCCCGTGAAGCCATCCTGGAAACAGCAGGGAATGGCCCCCACTGCCTTGGCCATGGCCCAGGCCAGCCGGGAGCCCATGTACAATTTTGCGGTGGCCATCTATGCTGAAACGCATTCAGTCTTAGCGCCACAAGGCCGTCTGGAAACAGCGAGGAACCAGCCCCTGCTGCCTCAGCCCCGTCCCCTGGGTGCATGCTGAGGTGTCACCCTTTGTGAGGAATGAGGAAATGCACCATCGCTTGGAAGTGGTCAGCAAATGGCCCTCTCGTACTTCACATATCCGGCTTGATCGGCTCCGGCAGAGGGGTTTCGGCAGGCAGCGGGGCGCTCTTACAGCACCGAGAGGCTGAGCCGGGTAGCGCAAATCCAAAAAGAAATGCAAGGCCGTCCAGCTCCCAGCCTGCCCAGTTTCAGCAGGCAGTGGGGCGCCCTCCTCCCAGTGAGGCTCCTCAGTGGACCATGCCTTGGCGCTTGCCCCGTCCCACCCCCTTCTGCCAGACTCTCAGATCTGTCCCACTCCTGCCCAGGCCCCCGCAGGCACCCTTGACACGAACGATGTAGAGCTGGCCACGCCCCACCCAGTAGGCCACACCTACCCCATCCACGCCCACCCAGTAGGCCACACCCACCCTGGCCACATCCACCTGGCCCCCCCAAGGGCAACCGCAATGCTGATGCAGCCCTCAATGCAATTGACTTTGACACTCCTGCTCTTAGGTTGAGCTGTAAGCTGTATTTGCAGCATTACTGCCACATGGTGGGGAGAAATAAAATTACTGTTCAGGAATAAAAGCAGTCTGAGTGATGGGTGTTTCGCATTGTGAAGATCCTGGGATGGGGGGGCTGAGCAAAGCTACTATGGCCTTAATTATGTCGTGCACATTTGGGAGTACAAGGTCGGCATTCTCCTTCAAATACACAAAGTTAACACAAAGCTTTGTCGGCCTTAAGAGAATCTCCTGTTTCTGCTAAAAAGCTTTAAAGCAGTGGTTCTCAACCTTTTTAATGCCGCGACCCCCCAACAGGTCGTACGTCGAGGACTAGTCAACCGGTTGTAAGTCGAGGACTACTCAACTGGTGCAGCACCGTTTGCAGAATGGGACTTTGGGTGGGCTCAGCAGGGCAGAGACAGCCTGGACAATTCCTATTGGCTTTTGAAAGCCAATAGAATTAGACTCTATTCAAGAGAGTCTATTCTATTGGCTTTCAAAAGACAATAGAATAAAAGGGAGTAGCACAGCTAAGGAAAAGGGGGAAAAAATGGCGGACTGCGTTGTTTGGCGACCCCCGTGAAATGGTCGTTCGACCCCAAATGGGGTCTCGACCCACAGGTTGAGAACCACTGCTTTAAAGGGGATCATTGTGGGCATCCAATTTAGAGTTTCAGATATCTGGTGATGGTCTTACATGATGCTTTCAGAGAAGCAACCTAGAACTAAGGAGAAACTTCCTGACCGAACAATTAACCAATGGAACACCCTGCCTCTAGAAGCGGTGAATGCTCCAACACTGGAAGTTTTTAAAGAAGAGACTGTCCGAAATGGTGTAGGGTTTCCTGCCTGAGCAGGGGGTTGGACTCGATGACCTCCAAGGTCCCTTCCAACTTTATTATTATATCAAACAGGGAGCAACTCTTTCACACCCACAGCAATGAAGGGCAAATTAGCCCTAGATTCAGCCATGACACATGTGCTCCAATTAGGCACATGATCATTTTAAGTCAATTTATTAGAGTATTGTAGCAAAGAGTTTTTTCTTAATGAAAAGAGGGAATCCAGGACACAGAACTGAGTTTCATTTTACACTCCATACAGTAGAAAAAGTACAAAACAAGACTTGATTGGATGGGAGAAATCATCCTGCTCAGTCATATCAGAGACGTGGACAGTAACATCCCATAATATTAAGCCTAACTGACATGAGCATTGCATGTCAGTTATGCATTACATTGCATGTCAGTTATGCATTACATTGCCGAGGTGGCGCAGCAGTTAGAGTGCAGTACTGCAGGCCACTTTAGCTGACTGTGTTCAGCAGGTCAGCGGTTCAAATCCCACCGGCTCAAGGTTGACTCAACCTTCCATCCTTCCGGGGTAGGTCAAATGAGGACCCAGATTGTTGGGGGCAATGTAAATATATATATATATATACATTGCTTACTGGTGTACACCGCTTAGAGAGTGCTTGCACTTAAAAGTAGTATATAAGTCTCCTAAATAAATAAATAAATTAAAAGGAGAACGTTCACACGGGAAAAGGCATCACGAGTCACATTAGTTTGTGGAAAGGTACAATTTCAGCCAGATAAAACCTGTAAAAGCACGTACAATTGGAAAAGTCTTTTATTGTTCACCCTGAGAAAGTCCCTTATTTGGCAGTTATTATTTACCCTTATCTTCTTCACTCAACCATCCTATTGGAATTATATGATCGTCATTCTGTTGCTTTGTATGTACACGGAGAGCTAGTGCGCTTGAGACAAATTCCTTGTGTGTCTATTCACACTTGACCAAAGTAAGTATGCGATTCAATTCCTGAGGTAGACACCATGACTGAAGGTCTTCTCACACTCTAGAGATATTTATCATTTTTCTCCCACATGAATATTTTGATCTCGAGGTAGGCCTCTATGCTCAGTAAAGCTCTACCCACATTCAGCCTTTATTACAGTGTTTCTCAACCTTGATAATTTGAAGGCATGTGGACTTCAACTCCCAGAATTCCACAGCCAGCAATGCTGGCTGTGGAATTCTGGGAGTTGCAGTCCACATGCCTTCAAATTGTCAAGGTTGAGAAACACTGTGTTAGCACAAGGTGCAAGCTGGCTAGAAAAACCTCCAAATGGAGCACGGCCACCTGGCAGTGTGAACGTGTCTTTGCTGGGACCCCCAGCAGAGAAGGAGCCACAGCCACCGCCCCGATCCTCATTCGGGGGCCGCCCTGCCTGGCCTGCCTCCCACCACCACCCTGGCTCGATCCGGGGCCTCCGAGGAAGGGGGCCGACGGTTCCGGGGCTCCAGGGGTCAGATCCAGCCTCCCTGCGTGGACCGCCTCGGCCAGCAACGGCGGGGCGTCGGGTCCAAGCAGAGCGCCAGGAGGGCCCTGGGATGCGAGCCGTGGGCCTGGCCTCCTCCCGACTCCCCTGGATGGAATGTGCGAAGAGCTTCAATTGGAGGGAAAGGTTTTATAGACATCAAAGAATCCACACTGGAGAAAAGCCATATAAATGCCTGGAGTGTGGAAAGAGCTTCAGTCTGGGGAGCAACCTTTATGTACATCAAAGAATCCACTCAGGAGAGAAACCGCATAAATGCCTGGAGTGTGGAAAGAGCTTTAGTCAGAGTGGAAACCTTTATAGACATCAACGAATTCACACTGGAGAAAACACATATAAATGCCTGGAGTGTGGAAAGAGCTTTACTGTGAATGGAGCTCTATATCAACATCAAAGAATTCACACTGGAGGGAAACCCTATAAGTGCCCGGAGCGTGGAAAGAGCTTCAGTAAGAGGAGCAGCCTTTATGTACATTGAAGAATTCACTGTGTGGCAAGAAGATGGAGAGTAGAAGTTATAGGCTCTCTTGTTCATATGCTTAATAGCATTGTTAGCCTGCAAGCCGTCTTAGAAATAATTACAAATCAAGGGCATTTAGAACAAGATCACGCTGTTTTGCTTCTCTATACTGTGCTTGCACAGGAACCTCCGTTAGCCCGAAGCGAGAAGTACAGGTACAGAAAGATAAAACAAAATGAATTGGTTAAAATAATAAACTTTCCCTTTTACATGTTGCTGCCTGGGTGTGTGGAGGAAATACACCCAGTTTTGAAAACCTGGATAGCTGCTATGGACTCAGGCTGGTTTGGAGAGATCTTTGGAACTGGCAAAGGGAAAATTTTCTGCTTATGTTAGCATTTAGAGGTCTTTTGGTTTTTCCCATCTTTGATTCCTGTTATCAGTGTTTCAGCGTGCAAACATTTTCAGCTCCTCTGCTAGCATCTTTGAATGTAGCAATCTTAAGCCCGGGCTGTGCGTTGTCACCCCCTCTCTGCTGCCTTTCCAGACGTTTCTGTTCCTCCTCCAGCAACTGGCCAGTGAAATAACTCATGGTTACGTCCTTCTCTTGCATGGTCTCTAAACTGGTCACTAGAATGTCCCAAGAATTGTCCAATGAACAGAGGACCAGGAGAGTTAGTTGGTCTCATTCAGCCAAGACACAGCGAAACCTCCTCCCATTACGCTGATGGAGGCCATGTTGCCTGCTTCTTCAAACCACCACAAACTACAACAAACCACAAGCCTCAACTCCTCTGGTTCTGGTACAAGCTTTCATTGGGTTTCTCTTCTCTCTGGGGCCATAAGCTGTCAGAGCGTGCAAACATTGCGTGAGGTAACCCAAGAGTAAACACAGTAAAGACAAACTTGTATCAAATGGTGGTTTACCTTACACTGTCTACAATATCATACACCAGGAACAAATATACATACACGTGCTAATACAGCAGGATCCAGCAAACAGCAGGAGGTGGAAGAGAAGAGAAAGACATTCCAGCAAAGCCTACTTTTTATATTCAGGCTCTTAAAGGGAGACAGACCATGCTGAGTCATTCCCATCATTGCACCATACACCTTTCATTAAAATTATATTACATAAGCTGTTCAACTATTAAATCAATACCTTGACAGTTGTGGTTTTTTTATTAAAAAGCGAAAAAGTATAAATAGAACACTGAGGGCATCCAAAAGACAACTTCAGAATTTTAAATATCTGGGACTGTCCTACATGCTAGAGGCATTTGGAAAACCCCTATTGATTACATGAAAGAATTAGCACAGAGAAGTCTTTCATGACTAAGGCAAGGAATGTTATTTCCCGCAGCACTGAAATTTTGAGTTTATGGCCCACATACTTTACAGCCACATTGTTCCAATGATGGAGTGAATATCTTTGTGATAGTAACAGGGAATGGAATTGAATACAATTGCACTCATAGGTTTGCGCATCCTTTGAAGAATTTGCAAGAATGTGGATTATTTTGTAAGAAATATCGGACAAAACACTTAAAAACATGTAGTTTGGATCAAATTAAACTATTATGTCTCACAAGTTAGGACATTAAATCATCATAATACAAGAAATAGTAAAATGGTTGTTCCCACGACTGCATATCCTTGAACATTTGGGCCAATAATACTGTATACACTCACTTTATTGTTGAATGACAATAAAAAGTATCCACATCTCTTCCTTATTGCATCATAATTAGCTCTGTGATAAATATTTAAGGGGGTTCTTAGCACTAGAGCAGGGGTGTCAAATTCATGTCACGTGATGTGTCGTGACGTATCCCGGCTTTTTTGCCATTGCTGACAAGGGGTGCATGTGGTTTTGCTATGATGCATCCGGCCCATTGGCTGACTTTTTGACACCCTTGCACTATAGAAACCGTTGTGCATGTCATCCAGGGCTGCACTGGATTTGCTGGCTACAATTGGCGGTATATTAGCCACGATTAATCAATTTCTGTTTATCTCCCATGTGGGTTATTGGGTGATTTTTCAGCTGCCTGTAAGGTCTTGTCTCAGCTAGTCCTTCAAGAAAGCAGAACTCTTGAATCAAGAGTCATTTCAAAAGGAACTTTTATTGAGAGATAGTGATTGCAGAGAAAGCAGGCAGGATCTAAAATTCCCGTGCGAAAACAACAGCTTAAAACCCACGTTTCAAAATCCTTCCCAACCGCCCAGTTTACAGGGAGCCAATGCAGAGGTGCAAAGGTGTTATGAGAACTCCGAACTGAGAAGGTAAGAAGTTGTTCTCAGAGGCTGAGATCCTCGGGAGCTGAGACAAAACAGATGGCCCCAGGCTCATCCTTCCCCCCTCCCATCCCCAGGAAGATAATCAATGGAAAAGAGGAACAGAGTAAAATGGATGCATCACAGAAAAGACCCCAAAGTCCCCCCACCCGCCAGAAGGGCAGCGTCCCTATAGGGATCTATGGGGAGCTGACACTGCCATTTGTTCTGAAGGATTCAGCACACTCTGGGTGCATTTATAAACTTTCTGCTGAGTGTAAATTTGTAATTTTTATTGAGACCTATTTTGAGTGAACCTTTTCCACGCACCATGAATTTTTAGGGGTTTTCTCCCAGGTGAATTCAGATCAGGAAGAATTTCTCATTGTATTCACACACAGTACAGATTTGTGCTTGTTGTGAAGAATTCTCCACACTGAAGGCATTTATATGGTTTTTCCTCACGTGTGGATTCTTTGATGCTTAGAAAGACTTCCCCTCCCACTGAAGCTTTTTCCACACTCCAGGCATTTATGTTTTCTCTCCAATGTGAATTCTTTTTTTTTAAACAAAATTTTATTAAGTTTAGGTAAATAAGGAAAAATAGGAACAATACAGGTATGGTAAAGGGAGGGCGTGGGAGGGAAGGGGAAGGGAATAAAGGGTTTAGGGTAAAATAAGGATAGGTACAATCACATATTTCAACAAACAAGCTACCGTCTGGATCATAATAATGAGTAAATATAATATTCAACCATTTTTACCGAAGCTTAGACTATAACATATTAAAAACAGTTAATAAACAAATACGTTGATCTATTAAGTAAACGCTACTAATAAAATCTCAAAAACTCCTACCAATCAAAAGTAACAAATGAAAATCAGTAAATCAAGAAAAATAATCATATCATCAAAGTATTAGTTAGAACTCGGTTAAAAATCAGTCATCTATTCTAAAATATTGAATCCTTCAAGTTCTAACGTGTCTCTAACCATTGATAAAATTTTTCCCAAGTTCTAAACTAAATTGAATCATCTTTTTCTTTCATTTCTAATGTTAGTCTATCCATTTCTGCACACTCTAAAATTTTAGTAATTATAGTCTGGTCAGATGGTAAATTCTCATTTTTCCAAAATTGGGCAACACTATCCTTGCAGCTGTTAAAACATGCAATATCAAATAGTCATTCTCTTTACCATAATTAGGTCTTAATATTCCTAACAAAAACAATTCCAGTTTAAATTCTATCTGTAGTTTCATCATCTTTTCCAACCATCTATGGATCTTAGACCAATATTTCTCAGCGATAGGGCATGTCCACCAGGCATGGTAATAAGTGCCTGGCTATTGTTTACATTTCCAGCAAATATCCGAATATTTTTAAATATTTTTCCAAGTGCTCTTAGGGAAAATATGTTTAAACATTTTCCCTAAGAGCACTGGTGTCATATGCCATCTATAAAACATCTTATATAAGTTTTTTTTATATAATATTTTTATCCCAAAGTTTTTGCCAGTCTTTGCCAGGTATTTATATGGTTTTTCCTCATGTGTGGATTCTTTGATTCTTAGTTAGAAAGACTTCCCTTCCCACTGAAGCTCTTTTCACACTCCAGTCATTTATATGTTTTTTCTCCAGTGTGAATTCTTTGATGTCTATAAAGATTTCCTCTCTGACTAAAGCTCTTTCCACATTCAAGGCATTTATATGGCTTTTCTCCAGTGTGGATTCTTTGATGTGTATAAAGGTTTGCCCTCGCACTGAAGCTCTTTCCACACTCCGGACATTTGTATGGTTTCTCTCCAGTATGAATCCTTTGATGTCTAGAAAGGTGTCCTGTGTAGATTCTTTGATGTTGACATACAGCTCCACTCACAGTAAAGCTCTTTCCACACTCCAGGCATTTATGCGGTTTTTCTCCTGTGTGGCTCCTTTGATGTCCATAAAGGCTGCTCCTTTGACTGAAACTCTTTCCACACTCCAGGCATTTATATGGTTTCTCTCCAGTGTGGATTCTTTGATGTGCATAAAGGCTGCTCCTTTGACTGAAACTCTTTCCACACTCCAGGCATTTATATGGTTTCTCTCCAGTGTGGATTCTTTGATGTGCATAAAGGCTGCATCTATGACTGAAACTCTTTCCACACTCCAGGCATTTATGCGGTTTTTCTCCTGTGTGGCTCCTTTGATGTGCATAAAGGTTTCCCTTCTGACTGAAGCATTTTCCACACTCCAGGCATTTATGTGGTTTCTCTCCAGTGTGGATTGTTTGATGTTGACGTAGGTGTTCATTCTGAGTAAAGCTCTTTCCACATTCTAGGCATTTGTATGGTTTTTCTCCAGTGTGGAGCCTTTGATGTACATAAAGGCTTCTCCTCAGACTGAAGCTCTTTCCACACTCCAAACATTTATGTGGTTTTTCTCCTGAGTGGATTCTTAGATGTGTATAAAGTCTTCCACTCAGACGGAAGCTCTTTCCACACTCCAGGCATTTATGCGGTTTTTCTGAGTGGATTCTTTGATGTGTATAAAGGCTTCCCCTCCGACGGAAGCTCTTTCCACACTCCAGGCATTTATGCGGTTTTTCTCCTGAGTGGATTCTTTGATGTGTATAAAGTCTTCCACTCAGACGGAAGCTCTTTCCACACTCCAGGCATTTATGCGGTTTTTCTGAGTGGATTCTTTGATGTGTATAAAGGCTTCCCCTCCGACTGAAGCTCTTTCCACACTCCAGGCATTTATGCGGTTTTTCTCCTGAGTGGATTCTTTGATGTGTATAAAGTCTTCCACTCAGACGGAAGCTCTTTCCACACTCCAGGCATTTATGCGGTTTTTCTGAGTGGATTCTTTGATGTGTATAAAGGCTTCCCCTCCGACTGAAGCTCTTTCCACACTCCAGGCATTTATGCGGCTTCTCTCCTGAGTGGATCCTTTGA